ATTATACAGGTAGCATTGGGGCAGCTGGTGGGAAAGGTGTGCACAGTTAGAGGGTGTGGCCCGGTTGACCCTATCAGCTCAGTCATTGACTGGAGGAGCCCGGGAGAAGTTCCTGCTTCCACTTGAGGGAAAAGGCAGTTTTGCTTTTTGCCACAGGTAAAGAAGAAGGGCACTGCTTGCCTGAGCAGTGAGCCTTTGTCACAAGATGCTGTCATGAATCTGATCTTCTGGAGCCCAAGGTGATTGCCAAGGAACTGCAAGAGAGTATAGCTTGGATCAAAGAGTGCAGATACAAAGTCGGGGGCGTAGTTAATTCATGGGGCTAAGAAAAAGCCTTTTATTTTTTCAGTGTGGTCTCCATTATTTACTCTTTTTGGAGTTGCTATTTGAATGGGCAGAGCTAAACTTTTTTCTATCTTTTTTTATGTTTTTTCTTTATTTTGTTCTGTTTGAGTGTCACCTACAAGACCATCTTCTGATTCTTGAACATATAATTATATAGCCATGTTTTATAAACATAATTTTAAAAATCCTTTTAAGGAAGTGGCGCTGTGGCTCAAGCGGTAGAGTGCTCGCCTTGAGCTGAAGAGCGCAGGGACAGCGACCAAGTCCAGAGTTCAAGCCCTACGACCGACAAAAAAAAAAAATCTAAAAAATCCTTTTAAATGTGTTGATTAGGGGCTGGGAAGTGGCTCGGTGGTAGAGCGCTTGCCTTGCATGCCTGAGGCCCTGGGTTCGATTCCTCAGCACCACATAAGCAAAAAGAAAAAAGCCAGAAGTGGCACTGTGGCTCAAGTGGTAGAGTGCTAGCCCTGAGCTGAAGAGCTGAGGGACAGCGCCCAGGCCCAGAGTTCAGGCCCCACAACCGGACCCAAAAAAAAAAAAAAAATGTGTCAATTAAACTAGAGATTAACAATGGAAATAGGAAGCACTTAAATTTTCATTTGTTAAATGAATGTTGATTTTTCCTTGGAGTCAGATTACTTTTGAAATTTGATATAATTTTTTCACTCTTTTAGTCATCCACTTCAGAAATTTTCCGAGGATTAGCATGAATTATTACTGTGTTTGTTTTTGTTACCAGTCCTAGGGTGGTTGAACTCAGGGCCTGTACATTGTTCCTGAGCTTTTGTACTCAAGGCTACCACTTGAGCTCCAGCTCCAGCTTTTTGGTGGTTAAATGGAGATAAGAGTCTCATGGACTTTCCTGCCTGGGCTGGCTTCTTCAAACCACAATCCTCAGCTCTCAGCCTCCTAAGTAGCTAGAATTTCAGTCATAAGGCACCAGCATCTGATAGCTTTTTTTTTTTTTTTTGATCGGTGGTGGGGCTTGAACCCTGGGTCTGGGTGCTGTCCCTCAGCTCTTCAGCTCAAGGCAAGTGCTCTACCACTTCAGCCACAGAGCCACTTCTGCCTTTTTCTATTTGTGTGGTGCTGAGGAATCGAATCCAGCGCCTTATGCATGCAAGGCAAGCACTCTACCACTGAGCCACCTTCCCAGCCCTCATAAATTGTTTTTAAAAGCTACCAGAGAAAAAGATACTATTAAATAATTCCCAAATATTGGTTAATTTTGTCAGTTTATCAGTTTCTACTGGAACACAAGAGGTTCAGTTATTGGTGTGCCATACAGGTATTGGTTATCTGGGTTTATGACAGGCGTGTTAATGATTCGCAGCGTGGGTGTCACAAAACAAAAATTGCTACAGCCCCAGGACAGCACTTTTAAAATAAAGATTTTAACAAAAAGTATTACATCTATGTAATCCCATCAAAAAGTTTAGAAAAAGTTTTGATTATTCCTTTTTTTTCTACTCTGTTCTACCAAGGTTCCATTTTGCTAAACATTCTTGATATATACTTTTCAAAAAGAAATTTATGATGATTTAGTCTCATCTTAAACAGAAATTTAAATTTCATTTTTCAGATGTAGATTTTAGTTCTATAGCTTATACGTGGTTGTGCTTTAATTTAGGTTTAGTGAAAATAACACCTTCTTTGAAGCCAAATATCTAAAAGAAAACGTACATGTACCCAATTCTATATAAAAGTTCGCAAGTTTTTGGTAATGATATATTAGGTCAGGCTTCCTTTTCTGCTAAGGACCATTGAAGGGCACAGTTTGTACCCTTCGGTGTAATAATACGCTTTTATACATGTGAATATGTGTGTGTGTGTGTGTGTGTGCACATGTGCATGTGTGTAATGTAGGTGCCAGCCAGTAATTGATCTCAAGGCCTGGAACTGGGCTTTCATGCAGATGGTGATGCTCTACTTCTTGACCCACACCTCCAGTCTAACTTTTTGCGGATTAATTGGAGATGGAGTTTCACAGACTTTTCTGCTCAGACTGGTTTCAAACCTCAATCATCCAGGACTCAGTCTCCTGAGGAACTAGAATTATAGGCAGGAGGCACTGCTGCCTGATTCACTTTCACTAATGAAAATACAAAAATGATGAAGAAAAAAAAGGATGTGCAGAAAAAGGTCTTTGAGGGGCTAGGAAGGTGGCTCAGTGGTAGAGCGCTCTTGCATACCTGAGGCCCTGGGTTCGATTCCTCAGCACCACATAAGCAAAAAGAAAAGAAAAGAAAGAAAAAGGTCTTTGAAATGCCCTAGTAATTACACTTTAAATCTTAGGTAACTGTTGCGGCATGAGTTTTTTTACGTGTGCTTTTTCTCATTGCTTATTTTTGCATATCCCCCAGGTTGTTTCAGATTGGGCTCACACTTAGTATTCTATTTAGTAACATGAATATTTTCACTTAAAATATATTATGATCATCTGACACATTGTTCTGTATCAAATCTTTACTTTTAATGTTGCTACTTTGAGAATCATTGTGTCTTTGAAGACTAGAGTTAAGGTGTCTTTCTTTCCTTTTTTTTTCTTTTTCTTTTTTCTCCCTCCCCCCCCCCCCTTTTCTTTCTTTCTTGTTGGTTGTGGGGCTTGAACTCTGGGCCTGGGCGCTGTCCCTCAGCTCTTCAGCTCAAGGCGAGAGCTCTACCACTTGAGCAACAGCACCACTTCCAGTTTTCTAGTGGTTAATTGGAGATAAGAGTCTCTGAGACTTTCCTGCCAGGGTTGGCTTTGAACCGCAATCCTCAAATCTCAGCCTCCTGAGTAGCTAGGATGACAGGTGTGAGCCACTGGTGCCCACCCAAAGAGGAACCTTTTTAAGGATCTAAGAGCATATATACAACACCAAACTTAAGTTGAAGTTGAATGATGCAGGGGTAAAGATGATAGATAAAATCTAGCCTGCGTACTTACAGAAGTCTGTGGTGCACGGACACACCATTTTAACGTGTCCTGTCCCCTGTGTACTTTGTAACTGACAGAGAACATGACCCTCTGAGTGGAAGACATCCTCCTGTTGCTGAGGTGCTAGGGGAAGTTATCACACAGAAAATGACAGCATTGCTTGATTATTGCAGCCTGTGTTTTTCTAAATTTCAAGGAGAATACCAAATACACTGGACAAGAATTTAAATATACAAATTATTTTTTAAGTTGGGCGCTGGTAGCTCACGCCTGTAATCCTAGCTACTCAGGAGGCTGAGATCTGAGAATCACAGTTCAAAGCCAGCCCAGGCAAGAAAGTCCGTGAGACTCTTATCTCAAATAAACCACCAGAAAACTGGAAGTGGTGCTGTGGCTCAAGTGGTAGAGCGCTTGCCTTGAGCTGAAGAGCTGAGGGACAGTGCCCAAGCCCAGAGTTCAAGCCTCACGACCGACAAAATAAATAAATAAATATTTTTAAAAACTAGCGTGTTCCTGCTTGTTTGTATGAGAGCACTTAGAGGGTAAAGTAGAAATGGACTTTGTAAATTTATAACATTAGATACACTTTTTTTTGGGGGGGGGTTGGTCATGGGGCCTGAACTCTGGGCCTGGGCGCTGTCCCTCAGCTCTCCAGCTCAAGGATAGCTCTCTACTTTGAGCCCAGAGCCACTTCCGGCCTTTTCTGCATATGTTGTGCTAAGGAATCGAATTCAGGGCTTTATGCATCCAAGGCAAACACTCTACCACTGAACCACCTTACCAGCCCTAGATAACACTTTTTTATGTGTATGTGTATGCCAGTCTGGGAACTCTGGACCTGGGTACTGTCCTTGAGCTTTTGTGCTCAAGGTAAGCACTCTACCACTTGAGCCACATCTCTGCTTCCAGCTTTTTGGTAGTTAATTGGAAATAAGAATCTCACAGACTTTCCTACCCATTACCATGTGGCTTCGAACCACAATCCTCAGATCTCAGCCTCCTATGTGGCTAGGATTACAGGTGTGACCCACCCCCATCTGGCTTAGGTACATTCGAATAGATTGAAAGTAGAGTAGAAATAATGAGGTGGTATTTGAACATGAGTAATACCACATTGTTAGCTTAAACCTGAGTTAGCTGATGTTCTTTCAAATTATTGTTAGAAGGTTCTGCTCAACCCACCTATCCCTGGAACTCTTCTTTCAGTTTGTAAGAGCTCTTACTCATGCACAAGAAAGGCACATACACAGACAATACACAGAAAGTGACAGGCATTGTGGGGGTGGGGACACTGGCAATCCTGCCTGGTTTAGTGTGCCCAAGCTCACAGTGAGGGTTGGAGATGCACTCCCTGGATTCACACACTGGAACTTTGGCCAAGTGACGAAACCTCTCCTCTTTTAGCGGTACAGTTTAGATAAGATAATACCGTCTGCATAGCTTGTCATGAGAATGATCAAAGCATATGTGTGGATCATACATCTGTACTGCTGCTACCAGTGCTGACATGACAGTCCCTGTCAGCAATCTCCTCTGGCCATGCAAAATCAGGCCCACAATATACTGCACTGCATAATTATTGTGCCTACCATCATTTGTTGTTACCTTCTTTTGTTGAAATATTTTGATTTTCTTTTCCTGTTACAGTTAAATGGTTTAAAAGTGTTCGGTCACTAGCTTCTATATTTAAATGGACATCTAACAGCTGTGTTTTGTTTCCTGTGGTTTTTTTTAGGCAAAGTCATTAATAAAGATTTGCGACATTACCTGAGCCTTCAATTCCAGAAAGGATCAGTTGACCACAAACTGCAGCAAGTGATCAGAGATAATCTCTACTTGAGAACCATTCCATGTAAGTATGATAATATGAGCTATCCTTACTTAACTAAGTGAACGTCTAGAAATTATTCAGAACATCTCAGATGAATTTGGGAAGACCAAGTTGGTGAATAAGAATGGAACAAAAAGCTGGGTGCTGGTGACTCATCTGTAATCCCAGCTCCTCAAGAGGCTGAGATCTCAGGATCATAGTTCAAAGTCAGCAGTGGCAGAAAAGTCCATGAGACCCTTAGCCCCTATTAACCATCCAGAAAAGGAAGAAGTGGAGTTACAGTTCCAAGTGGTAGAGTGCTGGCTTTGAGCAAAAACTCCCAGGCATAGTGCCCATGCCCTGAGTTCAAGCCGTAGGACTAGCAAGTGCACACACACAAGAAAGAAAGATTGGATAAGAAGAAAATTTTTAGAGAACTCAGGAGTTTGCTTTATAAAATTACAAAGAATTAGAAGATTCTGTATTGTGACTTTTAAAAAATTGTTTAGAATTTAAAATTTTATTTACTATATGGAAATGTCATGGGAAATCCTTATGCTATACAATTGAATATACTCTTAAAAATGTAGTAAAGTACATATTTGCCTGTTAATTAGATTTTATTTCTAAGAATCAAATTGTAAAGTCTCTGTAGTACAATTTTAGCTCTTAATAGTATGTGCCTGGAGAGCAGCTTTATAATGTACCCTCCACCTGGGTAGGACAAAGGACAAAAAGGAAGAAGCACAAAGAAACCTTTCTACCATTCATTCTGAACTTCACCTAGCTAGAGGTCTTGATATTTCTCAGAGGACCTGATGAATGTTGAACACATAGCAGGAAATGCTTACGTTTGGCTTTAGTCAACACAGGTCTTGGAAAGAATGCAGAGCAGCAAACAATAAAGGTCACAGCAGGGCCTTCTCTGAGTTTCTTTCCAGTGTCTGCAACCATTTGTGGATACCAATTTCCTAAGGGTATGGACCTGTTGATTTCCTTTACTTGTTAATTTTATATAATGTCCAATCTATTACCAAGGCTTCTTGATTGTGTTTTTTAATACCTGTCCCTCTGCACTGCCCCGAACCCTTACCCTTACTTGAACTGTTTTTCTTCTGTTTTCCTTTGTGAATATATTATTTATAACAGTATATGTAATGGTAAAAATGATTTGTTTAGCAGTACTGGGGTTTGAACTTAGGACAACCTCTCCGTTGCTAGGCTGACACTTTACAACTTGAACCAGTTCCGGCTCAGACTCTTGACACTAACATCTTACTCTCTGCTTCATATGGGCAAGTTATGGTATGTTTCTGAACCTCAGAATCTCCACACTTAAAATAAGCACAACATGACTCACTTCAGTTTACTAGAAGTACAGTGAGAACAGTATGTAAACCACTTAACCAGGCATTCAAGGTGTCCTGCCTTTCATGTCACCTTGTCACCTGAATGTAGCCTATTTTCTTTTTTTAAATACATTCTTTCTTTTTAAACCACAGGCCTGATGATTGTCATTTTGTATTTTATCCTTCAAAGACCCATTAGCTGGGTGCTATGGCTCACACTTACAATTTTAACTTCTGCTGAGACAGAGATCAGGAGATTATAGATTGAAGCCAGCCTAGATAAAACAGGTTTGAAGACCCCATCTCAGCAACAACAACAACAACAAATTGGGTGTGATGGTTGGTCCACACCTGTCACCATAGCTACATGGAAAGTGTAAATGGGAGATTCGCAGTCCACATGGGCTTGGCATAAATGAGAGACTTCTCTGCCTAGACTGGCTTTGAATCATGATCCTCTGGATCTCGGCCTCCCGAGTAGCTAGAATTATATAAGTGAACCACCAATGCCAGATGAAGCTGTCTTTATATTTTTTGATAGAACATTATCTTTAGTCTCACATCTTTCATATTTTTCTACCTTCTTTTACCTTATGTCACTTTTATATCATAAGCCTTTTACTCTATAGCTTGTTGTTTATCTGTTCTCTTTCTTTAAATAGCTTCCATCTTTATCCTTATGGTTAGTTCTACATTTTTATTTAATATTCCTCATTTTCCTCTCTGTTTATTTTTGTCCTGACTATAAGAAATACTGAATTATCTATTGATCTCTTCTTTCTCTGTCTCCCCCATAGTTGACTTGAAGTAACATCTTTTTACTAGCAGCAATTGAAATAAATCAATAAGCATAGTCTACTTTGTACCTGCTTTTTCATTCTTTTCCTGTTTTGTATGTGTGTGTGTGCTCACACGTGCGTGCGTGCATGCATGTGTGCTTGGGTGTGCATGTGTGCTTGCGTGTGGTCCTAGGCTTGAACTTAGGGCCTGGGAACTATCCCTGAGCTTTTTGCTCAAAGTCTGCACACTGTTTGACTCCAGTTGTACTTCTCTCTCTTTTGGGAAGTTAATTAGAGTTAGGAGCCTCACAGACTTTCCTGCCGGGACTGGCTTTAAACCATGATCTTCAAATTTCAGCCTCTTGAGTAGCTGGGATTACAGATGTGAGCCAATGGCACCCAGCTGCCCTACTCTTTGATACTTGAGTTATATGCATGTTTGCAAGCCATTACGTGACTGTACTCTTATACTGATTCGTTATTCTGTAAGTACATGTGTACTCTTACCACCAGTTCATTGTTTCTTGAGTAATTGTGGATATCTAAAGCTTGTTCTCTACTAGAGTTCCCAAGGAAAGTTCCCAGGATTATCTTAGTAGTTTATCTGTGACCTTCGTACTTCGTATTTGTTTGAAGTACAGTAGCTCATGCATGTGATAATAGCTGTTTGGGATGCAGAGAATGGGAGGTTAGTGGCTAAGGGCAGCCAGGTAAAAAGTTTGAGATCCCACTCCCTCCAATTCTGAGTACTCATGAGTCTGAGATCTGGTGGGGGGGAGGGAGGGAGAGATCCAGTCAAGTTCAAACCCTAGTACTTGGGGGTAGAGGGGCAGGGAGCTGGGTGCAGTTGAGATCTGTCATATAAGCTACACAGGAAACAAATATAAGTAACTGCCAGGCTAATGGGGGCAAAAAGCATGACCTTGTTCTAAAAATAATGAAAGCAAAGGGGACTGGGAAGTGGCTCAAGTGGTAGAGTACCTATTTAACTTCAAACCCCAGTATTTACCCACCCCCCTCCAAAAAAAAGTCTGAGAGCAGTCTGATTTTCATTTCAGAGGTAAAGTTGTTCTTCCTTTGTTAAAACAGAGTAATAAAAAGAAAGCTGTGCTTCCTAAGACCTATCTCCTTATTGTCTGCTGCCTCCATCACGTGGGTCTTTTAAGTTACTTTATTGTCCCAGTTTTGTAGTTTCTCCTCAGTGTGAAGTTTTGTCCTAGAGAAGAGCTACAGTTTATATATAGTTTTTGTTCATAGGGTCCACGCAGCTGTACCTCTTCAGATCTTAATAGCTCCACTTAGCTGTCTGACAAACCCAAATGCTTTAAACTGCTCTGAACCTAGAAGCAGTTAGCACACTGAATGGCCACATCTGGTCTCTTAGCGTTCTTTACTGAAAGATTGCAACTCTAGAAGGCAGTGGTGTTCTTCTGTCATCCTAGCTCTCCGGGAGGCTCAGATTAGGAGGACTGCAGTTCCAAGCCCATCTAAGAAGAAAAGTCTGTGAGCCTCCATTTCAACGGAAGTGTGGTATGCTAGCATGTATCTGTCATCCCAGTTACAGTGGGAATCAGACAGCAGGTGGATTGCAGCACAGGGGCCTGGGAAGAAGTGAGACCTATCGCAAAAATAACCAGTACAAAAAAAGGCTAGATGCATGGCTTAGCGGAAGAGTACTTGCCTAGCAAGTGAGTTCAAACATCAGTACCACTTCTGCCTGCAAAAAAAAATTCTAAGTGTACTTGGGCAATAAAACCTGATTCCCAGGGCTGGGAATGTGGCTCAGTGGTAGAGTGCTTGCCTCGCATGCATGAGGCCCTGGGTTCAATTCCTCAGCACCACATAAGCAAAAAAAAGCCATAAGTGGTGCTGTGGCTCAAGTGGTAGAGCACTAGCCTTTAGCTGAAGAGCTGAGGTACAGTGCCCAGGCCTAGAGTTCAAGAAAAAAAAAAAAAACCTGATTTGAGGTCTGAGACAAGAAAGTGTAAATGAGGTTAGAATACCTAATTGTACCAGAAAGTATATAAATGCTTTCTAGTTACATATCAGAAGTACTTTCTCAGCCACCTAGTAGAGAGACTTACTGACCAAAATATGAGGATTTTTTGAACAAGAAAATAGGGAGAGGAGCAGCAGACAGACAGGTCTTTTTATTCTTTGATACCAGACTTCAGTAGAATAGGACTAGGATTTCTGAGAAAAGAGGAAAGGAGACTGTGTTTTCTTCAACTTTCTGCCTGAAGGAATTTTCTGCAGGGAAGGCAGCCCAGGCAGAGGACAGCAGACACTGAGTTGTGAGAACAGAAATCTGAGTTTAGAAGTCTAAAGTATCTGGAATTTATAAGTGGAGAGACCTGTGAAGGAAAAAGATCAAGTGATCAGCAGGGAGCACAGTAAGCTGAGAATGTGTAGGACAGGCCCACAAGCCAGACAAGAAGAGCTGAGGGTAATTCCCTGAGCTCACACAGGGCCAGAAGATGTTTGAGTTCTGACCAGTCTGATCAGGGAGTCCCACCAGCGTCCTACCTTACTACCAGGGCTAAAGTAGTGGATTAAAACTTTTAATGAAGTTAATTTTAAAACCCTCAAAGAATTGAATGGGTATGAATAGCATTTAACCTGACACACATAGAGAGACAGAACAAAATGGAGACAATGTATTTCACAGTATCCAACATTTAATAAAAAGTTACTAGACATGTAGCTGGCACCAGAGGATTACAGTTCAAACCTACTCAAGCAGAAGAGTTGCTTTTTTTTTATTTTGAGAGTCTATCTCCAAATGTAACTACTAAAAATCCAGGTTGGAGGCATGGCTCAAGATACAGAATAAGAGTATAGATAAGTAAGTCCAACCCTCAGTACTGGAAATCAAAATTACTAGACATGCAGCACATAGGAAAGTAAGACCATA